GACTCCCTGCTCATCCTGGGTGGCCGAGGCCCAGGGTCTGCTGGTCCTGATGGTTCCGATTTGAACTCAACTCAGCCCCTCCTAGGAGGCTGCCTCCTCTTCCTCCTCCATACCCTGAGAAATGCTGACCCAGCCCTTGGGCCCAGAACAGAGGCTGCTCTGTCCTGGTCCTGCCCCTGGGTGGGGTGTTTATTGTTGGGTTGGCTCAAATAGTGTCTTTCTGGGGAGGTGACCTGGAGATCCACCAGCCACTTCCTCCAGATAGTTGAAGATGACCCCCCATGGGTCTGGTGGCTTGGTTCAGGTCTGCCGAAGGCTCTCCCAACGAGGAAACTGAGGACTCTCCTTTGCCACGTTGGCCCCTGTGGCTGCCGGGAGGTGAGTGGGGTAGGAGCCTCCCTCTGCCCTAAGGAGTGGGGGGCACCTGGACGTGCAGCCCCCTTTTCAGCCTCTGTTCTTTGGCCCTCCGTAGACTTGTTGGGGACCCACCCTGCTTCCTCCTGAGCCCGGAGGGGAAGGAAGCCAGGTGAGCCTCACCGCTGGGAGGTGTCCTAGGGGCTGCTTCCTCAGAGGGGCATTGAGGCCAGCCAGGAGCTCACACTCAGACCTCATCAATCAGGTGAGGAAAGGAACGTCAGACCTTTCGGGGACTGGTGGGCACTGGTGTCCAGTGTTGCCTGGGCCAGTCTGACCACTGTGCCTCTGCCAGGAGCCCAGGTCTTGGCAACATGTGCTTATGGAGCAGCTTCCGTGTGCAGGTTTCCACATGCCAGCTGCTCTCAGTGGCCTCTCCTCTCCAGAGGTCCCTCCCTCAGCTCTTTCTCTGCCCAGAGGAAGAAAGGCAGGAGTCCCCAGGCCTGGCTCCCAGCCAGTCCTGCCCAGGACCCTCTGGGGACTCTTGGTCATGTCCTGTCCTGTCTCTGGGCACGTTGGTTTTGGTTTCTGTAAATTGGGAGTTGGGGGTGGAGATGGGGAAGTTCACCTCCTTATGGCTCTTTCCAGAACACCGTGGAAGGAAACATCATAATAGCAAAAAGAAATTCGCTAAGGGCCGGCCCCGTGGCTCACTCGGGAGAGTGCGGTGCTGACAACACCAAGGCCGCGGGTTCAGATCCTGTATAGGGATGACCGGTTTGCTCACTGGGTGAGTGTGGTGCTGACAGCACCAAGTCAAGGGTTAAGATCCCCTTACCGGTCATATTTTAGGAAAAAAAAAAAAAAGAAATTCGCTAAGGGGCAAGAAGGCAGGGGGGACCCTTACCCCTGGGGTAGGAAAGATTGAAACAGAGGCGATCTCTTCCAGACTATGGGGTAGGAGCTGGGGGGGGGAAGGCCACCAGGCCTGGCACAATCAGCCATCCGTGAACATCCTGGTGTGGGCTGGCCAGGCTCTCATAGGCCTGGGGCATCCACATAGAAGAGTTCTGTGGTTATTAAACAGCCAGGCCTCGTGGAGTCCCAGCTCTGCCACCTGTGTGTTCTCTGAGCCTCAGTTTCTTGCTCTGGAATGTGGGGGTAACAGTAGTACCCATCTCCTAGATAATTTTAAGGATTCAACAAGGTGTGTTTGCAAAGTGCTTAACACAAGAGTGAGCATCCAACAAACAGGAGCTGCACTTTTTCCTCTTGTTATTATCCTTACTGAGGTGGTGGTTATTGTTCTTGCAGCCCAGGAGGGGAGGCCAGCCCCTAAAGCAGAGCCTCCTGGAGTGAGCCCGGGCACAGAGACATGGCAGGCCTGAGGGGGGAGCTCTAGGTCCGGCTTTGATCCAGAGCTGGGCTGAAGCACCCTCTCACTTCCAGGGTTGGGTCACTGTCCTGGGTTAGGGAATAGGGTAGGGGACAGGATGCCCCCACCCCTGGTGCAGTCTCCCACCCCCTGAGTGGCCTCAGGCTAGGGACTCCTTTCCTCTGAGTCCCCGGCAGTCAAATTCATCAGGCTTCCCGCCTGACTGCCTTGCACCCTGCCCCTACTTGATGATGGTGGTTTTCCGTCCTGTGGCCGCAGGGCGGGGTCAGGTGTCTAAAGGAGGCCCGGGGGTGGGGATGGGGCTGAAGCTCAGGAAGCAGGTGGAGGTGGACACCATGGGGACAGGAAGCCTAACATTCACCCTTGCGGGTCACCCCCCTCCCCTGCCTGATGAGCGGTGACTTTATGGCCTGAAGGCTGTACCTTGGGGGGCTGCTGACTTTTGATTTAATTAAAAGCAAAGCATTATTAACTTACCAAATTAATACAGTGCTAGACGTTTATAAAGTGAAAAGGGAAGGTAGCACCCACCCCTCCTGCCCCACCTTCAATTCTCCAAGGGAAACTACTGTATCCCATGTGGATTCTTCCAGACACCTTTTGTGTATATTTGCAAACATTATGCACAGATAGTGGTATTAAAAAAAAAAAGAATCATGCTATATATGCAGTTCATTTTTAGAAATTAAACATGTTTTTATTTTATTTTTATTTATTTATTTATTTTATTTTTTTTTTTTAAAGATGACCGGTAAGGGGATCTTAACC